AAAAAAAAATTAACAAAAATGTTTCCAAAAGAGGAAAATTAAAAATGTTTGAACAATAGGTGAAATGCTGTTACCTTTAGGATCGGACCATGAACATGGCAAATCAGTGCAAGTGAGATCTGGTGGAGGCTGCTGTTTTTCCTCTGCCACAACCTCACAGAGCATAAAAGGAAGTGCTCCAATATGGCTGTAGTCACTTATCAATCTATAAATAAATAATTAATACTACATCAGGAAAATCATTCAGAGCTACGTGTATTAACTGTTTTATAAATGGTAGAACAAACATACCCAACAGTACATGTGCAGTAGGTAAACACTGGCTTGCTTCTAGACCTTTGTAGTACCAAGTACATCAGTTTACTTTCTTCACGGTCAATAGAAAACGAGGGATTACAATTGCCTCTTAGAGCCCAAAATTTCTTGTATTCAGGATGCAAATGAATTCTGAAGAAACAAGAAAAAAACGAATCAATTTAACAACTTTTAAAAGAGACCAGTATTGCAACTCTAAATTGTAAACTTACTTGACTGAATGAATTCCTTTCTTGTGCTCCCAAGCACGTAGTGTTTTGTATTTTCTCACTGCTTTCTTGTCGTAGCCAGCTCCAATCAAGTACTCTTTTACTATGGATTCTTCCATCAGTAGTGGTACTCCATTTAAGTTTTTCTGCCAGTCTGTTAGTTTTTGAAGAAACATAATTGTTGGAGTGTTGGTGCACGAACGAGAAGATTGTTTGGTAGCATTGCTTCCAGGACCCGAAGTGGAGATTTTTAAAGCGTTACATACGACGTTGACAAGCGCCTTTTTACCGATTGATTTTTCAAAATCAATATATAGTACTTTTAAATTTCTTTCAACCTCGGTTTAGTTAAACTGGACACTTCTTTTAAGGGTTTTGGGAGTTTTAAATTCACCTTGCTTTAAGCACCAAAATAAACGAAATAGCACGAAAGTAGAGAGTAGAAATTGAGACATCGTCAATTACCATTCTGTTTCGCCAATTTCTGTTTCGCTTTGTTGGGGTGTCGCCAAATCGATCCCAGGACTGAAAACGAAACGTTTTGGTTTTTTTTTCGGAAAAAGATAATACTTCAAGGAAAAAACTACAAAGCATTTGTATTTTTTCAAAAGACTACTTGTATGCAAAAGAACAGCGAATTTTAATTTTTCAACTTTGCCATGCAATGTTTGATTTTTGCACGGATTTGCTCTTAAGTATCCAGAGCTCGAAATTAAAAAAAATTTACGGTCGCTTTTTGCGAGTAATTCCTAAAATTTAGTCGCAAGTTCGAAAATTTTAGTCGCAAAAGTAACCGGGACTAGACTAGAAACGAAGAATTCCTAGACGTTTCATGAGCGTTGCACGACGAGGTTTCTGAAAAAGTGTGCCTGCGATACGTTTCTCAGCAAGAAATCAACCATAAAAGTCACGCAACATTTAACCTGAATTTCGCAGGATTTTTCGGAAAAAACTACAGCAGCCAGTAATAAGTAAGACACCAGGCTCACCAATGGAGAAATTTTAGCCGCAGATGCGAGATCTCTATTTGCAAATGCACCCGATGCAGGCACAATTTCGAGCCCTGGTATCAATGATATTAGGGCATGCATACACGGACTTTACATGCGGCAGTTTATGTATGTGTAAAGTTCTACAACACGATATCGGAATTGAAGCGTGTTTGCTCTTCACCAGTGCGCATGCTGTTTCATTTAGAGCACGTTAAAGCGAGTACTTCTTGACTTTAAACGAATTACCCTTTATACTACTTATGTAGTAGTCAAAACACACACCCCAAGGCATTTTACTACAAATATCCGTGCATAATTTTTAGTCAAAAGTAGGCTATTGTTTATTATCCTTCATTTTACACAATGCCATTAACATATTTCGGAGACCTTCTCTCACTATGCTGTCAGGTGACGTACTTGTCATAAAATGATAGGTTATAACTTAAAGAATGCTAGAAATGGAAAGAGCATGTAGACAAAACCTAGGTGTCCGAAAAAGAGGCACCTGACATTGAAGAATGAGATCTTAAAATGGTTTATCAAATAACTCAGGTTCTACAAACGCTGTTTTTGGTCGATACAGTTGGCAAACCTATGTACTCTTGTAGCGGTAAACTCTGACTTCCTTATACGAAAGCACTATGTTTGACTACACTTAAGGACAACGAATTACCTTTACCTTTTGGTGTCTTTTGGTTTACTTGATGATTAAGACAGAGGATCATGATTCTCATAAAGGACCACAAGGAAAAATTCCTGAGGGTGGATCACAAAAATGGACATTCCGGCCCACCCCAGTGGGAGCGAAGGAATAAGAGGAAAAAACCAAAAACACAGAAAAAAAACATATGCAAAGGAACACAATAAACAGTTTTGCTTTCAGCAAACTGGAATAGCATTAATAACACACTTGTCTTTTCGTTTAGTTAACATTTACTTAGAAACCTTATTGTAAAAGCCTGTGTGGAGTCCTTGGATGTGCTGTAATTATACTTCTAGTTTTACGCGCTTTCAGTGCTTTCTATTATATCGGTTATTTAGCGAAAATGAAGAAATATGGTATAAATAAATTCATGATAAATTTCTAAAGCAGGATTTCCGGTAACCTTTATTTTCAATACCTCCGTCAGCCTGTGAAGTTTGCAATCTTGCAAAGTTTTTTGTAGTCTTGTACTCTCAGGAAAAATGACTCACACCGCAATTTACTAGATTTCCACCTTTAAAGAACTTTCAAAGAACTTTAAAATCATTGGATACATTGTACCGTGGCAGTTTGCCTTTTTACTTTCCTTTTACAGCTTTAAGAGAACTTTTAAATGTTTTTGTAGCCTCGATACGAGAATTTTTTGTTTGGTGCTAAGCCTGTACCCTTGTCCTATTCTTTCAGCATCTGTGATTGGTTAACCTTGTCATCCAATGAACTTGTTAAGAATAAGACATTTGATCACGAGATAGGATACAGATTCCTATTTCTATGAAGAACCTTTCCCATAGTTATTTCATAAAATAATAAGCTACACTGACTTCCTAGTGGTTTGCCAACTCAATAAACCTACTTGTGATGTAGGGAGGACTCTCAAAAAGCTTGTAAATCACTGGCCTTACGGCTGATTTACAAGCTTGTCTCATACTATCCTAACATTCCTTGTGGCTTATTGTGCTGGTAAACCCCTAGAAAAGGTGATCTATTGCTTTATTAAATTTGTCAAAAATTATAATGATTTGTACGGAAAGGTTACTGGAGGTTAAGATCCAATAATTTTTTTATAACTTGTACTGCTGAAGTTAAGTTTAGATTTATAATGACTTTCAACGGGTGAATAGACTTGTTAACCCTCCTTGAGATTGTTGAATGGTGATCAAGTATTTTCTTTGACAAATTTGACTGAGTGCTTTTGTACTTGGGACTTTGGTACTATTGTAGCAAGTTACTACACTTGTGCCTTCAACAAGGGTGTTTAATTTAGTGAGTAGGCTTCACTGTTCATTTGTACTTACAGACTAATTTTAAAAGCACTTAAAGTGGAGCAATAAATTTATTATCTTTTTGTCCTGCTTATTTTATAGTATTCATCATCGTCTGAATATGAAGATGATACTGATTCAGAGAGTGAT